TACTTATTAATATTTGTTTTATACTGATTTATAGGAACAGAAGTGGGAGGTGGGGTTTTAAAAATCCATTAGTAAATCAACACATATTTACTAATCATTTACTACATCCTAGCCACTAGGCTTAAAGTCAGAGATCAAAGAAGATGAATTACTTCCACGAAGCTGATAGGAAACAAATTAGAGAGCAAGGCAGTCCGTGCTCTGCTCAGTGACTGGTGAACCACCTCTTCCTCGAGGATTTGGAGAATTTGTCCCTGAAGAAGGGCTGGATCAGATCTTGAAAGATCTTTTGCTAGGTAAAGAACAGAAGAGAAAGGAGATGGCCAGAAGTACCACTAGACACAAGGAGTTGGGGGAAGGTAAGCAGGAGGTCCTGAGTGTACTGGGCAGTGGGGACTTCATTAAAATGTACCAAGCTCTGGGGGACTCTCAGATCATCTTTAGTGAATAAAGGCTCTGGCAATAAACTTTAATTGAGAATAAGAATGTGGGAGATCCCCTGAAGATATCCCCAAGTGAAAAGAGATAGCAGCTGGAGTCTAGAACCAAGTCAGACTTCTAATCTGTGTGCTGGGAACTGCCTCCTCCTGAGAGCCCTGTTTTCAGTAGTTCTCAAACTTTAGTGAAGGAAAGAATCAATATGGTTTCTTATAAATTCTCCAAAATCTGTTTCTATAGTTGTAAAGAGAGGGAGGTCTAAGATTTTGCTTTCATTTTTTTCTTAATAAGCACTCACGATTCAGATGCAGATGATCAATAGACTGTATGCTAAGAAGCATTGCCTTAGAGTTTGCCCAGGGGTCTGATGAAAGAGGTAAAAATTCCACAGTTCTGAGATATGAAACCCTAAATGTTTCAAAAGTGTACCAGAAAATTAGATGCTGTCACTGGATGTGATACTCTGTCTCGCCAGAGCCACATACAGAGCTGCAGAGATAGAAAAGTTTTACACATCTGCCCAGAAGCATCAAGAGAATGATAAAGCCTAAAAGGGTGTTTTTGTAAATACCACAGGATAGTAATAATAAAGAACACTGTTTCTGGGCATGCTGTCATTTCTGCTTTACAGTTCCACTCTGTATCTGTATGTTCTGAAGGGCTATCATCAGCACCGGCTATTGGCCACACGCTGGAAGGAGAAGCTGAGGCCCACCTAGTGGGGGTGGCGGAAGGGTTGGGAAAGCTGATGAACTGTGTCTCTGCCCAGGAGCCAGTCAGATTTGGCTTGATAGGTATTTCCCCAAGCTCAGTCACACTACTTCCTCTTAAAGGGGGAAAATAAGTCAGAAGTGAGGTAGTAAGCGCAATTCGAAATGAAGCACAGGAGAGACAAGGAGCTTTTCATCCATCCATCTTCTGAGCTGAAGCTGCCTTTCAAAAAAATTCTTTATTTCAGCTTTCCTGAGGAAAACTGGACAACAAATTATATTCTTTAAGGTTAAAAATAAAAGGTTGAACAGCAAAGCCATTCAAAAGTTATGTAAACTTAATCACTAAGTTTTCTATTAAGAACATTTTTTTAAATTTAAACAACCAAGCTGATTCATATTTAGGAACTTCAACTCAGATATTGATAATAAACTGATTTTTCTCTTTAACCTTAGTATACCAACTTTAAAATCACTTGTTGCTTAGCCCTATCTCAGAGTTTAAGTCCAGTACAGGTCTCAAGGGGTAACATTCTGCAGGAAAAGAGTGACATCTGCAGGAATATCGTGTCACTACATGGTAAAATCCACAGGAACTCAAAAATTAAACAATTCGCCGGGGCACAGATTACATACTCAGCACACTGACTGGCATACACGAAACTCTCAACAAATGATCACTGCTATTTGGGTGATGGTGATGGTCGTGGTATATGATTTTGAAATAAATTTCTTGAAATAAAAAAAAACAGAAACAACAAAAAGGCAAGGAAGAAAAGGACCGAAGGCTATTCAAATAATTCAGTTCATTTTGTTTTTCATAGGAACCCTCCCAGACAGATAAGAATCTATACTGTTTTTTAAGACCTTCTAGAAAGAAATTCCACAACCTCCACATCCATACTATAGCCCTACAATCTTTAGCAGGGCCCAGCTTAGGTCCCACTTAGTTAAGTATATAAATTTAGTTTGAGGAACTCTCACATCTCTTCTTCCAGAATAGATACCACTCCCATTTTAGAACATACATCCCTTCATCTTCTCATTAAACATTTATTGTGTACCTACTACGTTCCAGGCACTGTTTTATTTAACTTGTGGAACAATGGTGAACTCAATATACTTCCTGTCATTGAAGAGTTTATAGTTTGCTGATCCTGCAAGGCTTCAGGGTGCTCCTGCATCCTTCTCCCTCACTGTCTCCCACCTCTTTTTTAGCTCCTTATTCATTCTTCCTTTTAAACACTTTATACTAGGAACTTCCCATAATCTTCCTCACTCCTAATAAAATTAAACAGCCTGTGCTTCATTTTTTCAGGGTTCCAATCTAGGTAGAAATTCAGGTAATCCAGTAAACTATTCCATGCCAGTTGGTAATGGATTGTATCACCAAGGTAATCTGCACACGTTTTAATGGGGTCTTTCTGAATATACAATAATCATTTAGACCTTTGTGTTGGACTAACAGAGACCAAATTCTGAGTTAAGCAGGGCTTTGTGGGGCAGCCCTACTTCTCCCATGTGGGACCCAGTCCTTCAGAGAGCACAGCCAACCTTGAGTTTTAGGTTTTATGCCACTGTTTAAACCAATTTCCTTATTGGCCTCAACAGCTGGAGAACATATACCAAATCATCTTTTACTGTAGAGTATCTCCTTTAAATTCCTGATAAATGTTAAGTCTCCTCTCATTCTTCTCTGTGAAATAAACAGACTCTCTATAGTAATCCAAAACAGCCATTGAAAAAATGCATAATTATCAATTTGCATTTTTCATTTTTATGCTTATTTTCCTAAATTTTGCAAAGCAAATAGCCAGGTGATAAGTTCAAATCAGATACAAGATGACTGATAGACTACTATTCCTGCACACTATAAGATGTTATTTCTTCAAGTAGTTTTCCTGACCTGTGCTCTTGGCCATTCTGCAAGTTGATGTTTGTTTAGGATTCTGGGCTCTGTCAGAGATCTTGCTTTCTGATAGCATTTAATTACTAAAAATAAAAATACAATAGTCCAAATTAAGAAACAAAATTCCTTCATTTAGTTGAACTGAACTGTACTGGATGTGTATTCATTACCAAGAAATAAGAAGATACATGGTTTACATCCCAAGGTATCAACTTTTTCAATGAGGCAAAAATTGTTTTTCTTTATACTAACACCTATCTCTAAGATGACCTCTTAAGAAGGTCAATGGCAGACTGCACTACCTACCCTTGAATATATCCTTGGATCTGACTGGATTTTACTTATTCTTTCATATCTGGACAAGAAGCAATCTGTAACAATCTCCTACAAACATGAACAAAATATATAAATAAGTCTTGGGAATTTATTCCCTGGTAGGTGCAAAGCCTTAGGAAACTAAAAATGCTATAGGAGAAAGGAATTGAACATTTTGATGCCTTTTCCATGACAGGTATTTTGTATATATTATTTCATTTGATCCTCTTAATGGACCTGTCAAGTCATTTAGGTTGTTTAGAATGATCTTCATCTAACTGATGAGAAAATAAAGGCCAGGAGAGATTTTGCAACTTACTACTAATTGATATTTTTTAGATTTATCCTCATGTTCATCTGGGTCTACAGCACACACTCCTTCCTTCCATGACACCTAAAGAAATTTAATTCTGAGTGCTGGGTGTGAATTTCAAATGAAAAGACAGATTTGATACTGAAATGAGACAAGTTACCAAGGCAAGCACTCCAGTGGAGCACAAGAAAAAATAGAAAAATAATTTAAAGGACCTGTGGTTACATATTTAATGGGCATTAGTGACTAACAAATTATCATTTGTGGGGGCTTTTAAATGTAATTTTCAAAGTACAGCCATTTAGAGATTAAACATTACAGTGCAGTGTCTGTACATCATTTGTGAGAAATCAAACCTCACTACTGCTATAAACGGTTTAGGCTAAAAACCCTGGCTCCCTGAGTAATGAAGAAGCTTATCCCAGTTAAGCTTTATTGACTTCTGCTCTGTAGAATGCTGCAGAATGTCATTCTTGTGTCTGATTGGCTGTGCAATTAGTAAGAACAGATTTGATCCTAATATTGACTCTAAAGGTAATGATGCAACATTATTTGCTCATTCCTTTATTCATTAAAAATGTACTGTAAAACATTTTGGCATTCCATATAAAACCAAGTATGCAACTGCCTTATGACTATGACTCAACAACTATATCTTGGGGCTTTATCCCAAATAAATAAATAGTTATGTTAGGACAAAAACCTGCACACTAGTGTGCACAGCAAGTACATTCATAATAGTCCCAAATGGGAAATAAACCAGATGTCTTCTGACAGGTGGCTAATTAAACACAAGGTGGTACATCCATACTGCAGAATACCATTCAGCAGTAAAATGGGATGAACTATTCATATACACAACATGCTGGATGAATCTTCAATGAGTAACACTGAGTGAAAAAAGCCGATTTCAAAAGGTGACATACTGTATGAATCCATTTATATAAGATTCTCAAAATAACAAAATTATAGAAATGGAGAAGAGATTGGTGGTTGCCGGGGGTAAGGAGGAAGTGAGAGTAAGAGTGAAGTAGGTGTGACTCTAAAAGGGCAACAGAAGAGATTCCTGTGGTGATGGAAACAGCCTGTCTCCTGTCCATATCAGTGTCAGTATCATGGCTGTGATGTTGTTCTAGAGTGTTCCCACTGGGGGAAACTGAGGGAAGTACACAAAGGCCCTTTCTCTATGATCTCTTATAATTACATCTAAGGCTTCAATGACCTCAAAAACTTTATTTAAAAAAAAGATATTGAACACCTAAGGCACTGGAAATGCAAACAGAATGAGGACGCCTTAAAGGACACAAATACCTACCAGAAAGAAGGTGATCCCACTATAGTGTGGTCAATCCAATTCTACAGTCTGCACAGACGCTGAGGGGACCCAGAGGAAAAGCACCAAGCCTGTGTCTGGAACAGGGATTGCACAGTTTCCTTGAAAATGTGATACTGCTGCAAACCTGAAGGATAAGTGGGAGTTATCCTGGCAAAGGAAAAAGAGAAAAGGGTCGAGGGCAGTCCACAGAGAGGCAGCAGCATGTGCAAAGGCAAGGAGATGGGAAACAATGTGGCATTTTCAGGGAACTGATTAGTTCAAAATGTTGTGTGCGTGGCAGGTAAGGATGCTGAGAGAGACAGAGCTCATCTCAACCCGAAGGCAGGGTCTAGGTCTTGAAGGTGTATTGTTTTAAAGGACTTGAAGTATATCCTGTAGGGTATGGCCAGAGATTACAGGCTTGTCTGTCTCTCTGTTTATAACAACAAATAAGATTTAGGTTTTAAAGTCCATGGGGTTGAGATTGGGTGGTAAATTGAAGGTGAGGAACAAAAGTAGTCAGTGAGATATAAGGATATAAACATTTAAGAATGAAGAAAAGAGACAGATTTGAGAGACTTAACAGAGACATAATCTAACAGTATATGGTGATTGTTTGAATGTTGAAAGGGAGGTGACAGAAGAATCTAGGGCATGATTATGAGAGTAGAACTAGGATGACGCTCCCCAGCCCAGAGCAGACATCCCTGATTAATAATTATACGCCTTATATCCCAGGTCAGCTGGTCCAGGAGCCACTACTTAGCCATCAGGTTTGGCCAATGAGTTGTGCTTATTTTGAACCCCTTACCTCTTACCTCCTGAATTTCTAGATGGATGGTAGTGCTGTCCATAAAAATGGGTGAAACAAGAATTGAAAAGAAAATTTTTGAACTTGGTTGGAATGTCCCTGAGTTTGAAGGTCATAAGAGACATCCAAGTGGAAACATCTAATAAGAATTGAATATTTAGCCGCATAGCTCAATAGGGAATTTCGGGAATCAGTAGCATATATGTGGAAATTAAACCATAGAAGGGAGAAGAAAAAAAGGATCAAGAAGAGAACCCTTAGGAACATGGATATTTAACAGATGGATAAAAGAAGAAGGGACCACGAAAAAGACTAAGGTAGCATGTTAAGAAAAATAAGCAGAAAACCAGGAGAGCATGGTTACTGTAACTGAGGAAGAAAAGAAAGGATAATTGGTCAGCAAATTAGTGCTGCAGATAGGTCAGTACAATAAGGACTACAAAGTTCCTATTGACAGAGACTCAGGAAATACGGTGGTGATCGTGGTATCACAGATGTTGAGATCTCCACAATCCTTACACAAAAACAGAAGAGCTATAGCAAAACAAAAAAGTGCATGAAAACAAATTTACAAAAATCAATAGAAAATATGATATTCCTATAAACCTCATAATATGAGCAAATCATAAGACTCATACACAGTTGAACTTTGAACAACACAGGTTTGAACTGCATAGGTCCACTTATGTGGATTGCTTTTCAATAAATACATTAATGCTGATGGACAGTGATTGTAATGGGGTTTGTCGGGGGGGACTTGGGGTAGGGGAGAGCCTAGTAAACATAAATATAAATAAATAAATAAATAAATAATAAATAAATAAATAAATAAATAAATAAATAAAAACGAATAAACAAATGAATATTGAAATAATGAATAAATAAATACATTGGAAAAATTTTTCAGATCAGCAACAATTTAAAAAAACATTTTTTCTCTAGTTTGCTTTATTGTAAGAATACAGTATATAACACATGTAACATATAAAATATATGTTAAGTGATGGCTTATGGTATCGATGAAGTCAATAGGAGGTTATTGTTAGTTAAGTTTTGGAGGAGTCAAAAGTGATACATGATTTTTGCCTGCCCAAGGAGTCAGCACCCCAATCCCTGTGTTGTTCAAAGGCTAACTGTACTTTTACTGGAATATATGCTGGAGAAAGCAGAGGGCAGTGACAGGACATCTGCAGACCTGACAACAGAAGAACTTCAAAATAGCCAAGAGAAGGGAAGTTAAAAGTGGAAACAATAAATGCAGGCTCCTGCTTTGAGAAGTGTGGCTGAGGATGGCAGGAAAGAGAGAGCTACAGTTTTAAAATAAAACAGGGCAAAAAGAGAAGTTTTCTTCCTTTCTTTCTTTTTTTGCTTGTTTGGTTTAAAATGAAAGAGACTTCCATGCCAAAGGGAAAGGAAAAATGGAGAGGGGAAGGTTGGAGATATACTTGAGAGAAAGACAACTGACAGGGCAAGAGCCAGAAGGAGACTAAAGGGAATATGACACAGAAAATAGGTAGCAGGTTAACCTTAAATATGCTTAAAGATGGAGGGCTGGCGGCAGAAATTTGAGTCAGTTCCCACTCCCTGATTTCTATTTTCTCTGTGAAATAGGAAGGAGGTGCTGATTTAAGTAGTGGATGGGAAGCATAAGTTACCCAGTGAATGTTTAAAACATACAAAGAGGTGTTGAAATTTCCATAGAGATTATAAACAGAATTTGTAGAGATACCAAACCATGTCCTTTCGTTATTTTCTTCAGCAACGTGGGTGAAGAATTTTAAAAGATTTAGTTAAATTGATGAACTGTTTGATATTCACTCGTTTATTCAGATCAGCCTAATTAGGCAGGGGAATTGAAATCACTGGTGAGGAATTGGTTGAGGTGATGGGGAAGTAAAGAAAAGAGAGTACTGACAAAATGGGGCTGAGGCAGGAAATAATTCCAAGGCTTAAGAAGCTGAGTGAACAGGGATTAAGGGATGAAAAAAAAAGATTTAGAGAAAAGATAATTAGTTCATTTTTAATACTTCTGGTTTCTATGTCCAGTTCAACATGTGAATCCAGATGGATGGAAGGATCTGGCCTGAAACTACAGATCTGGGAGTCATCAACTTAAAAATAGTGAACTGAAGCCATGAAAATACATAGAGTAAAAATAGACTAAAAAAAATGAAGAAAGAACTGTGAAAAACCCCCTGGTTTAAAGGTCAGGTGGTGAAATAACAGCTATAAGTTTCCTGGAATGGACAAGCCAGAAAGGTAAGGAAAAAAATCCAAGTGAAGGTTGTCACAAAAGTCCAGAAAAGAGAGTTTAATGGAGAGGTCAAATGTCAATGCAGCATAGATTTACAAAGATGACTGTCTAAAAAATATCTTATTCATCTTCATCTTAGTGTCTAGGAAAATGTGTGGCACATGGTTCAGACTCAATAAATGCAAACTTTCATGTTGTGTATTCCAATACCTGCAAGTCTCACTCCAACATTGTTTAAGAGTTGTAAAAAAAGGATGGAGGGAAGAAGAAGGAAGAAAAGAAGGTAGGAAGGGAGGGAGGAGAATGGGAAGGGAAAAGGATAAAGAAAAAATGTCTCACTTACCCCAGTGCTCCTTCTGTGCAGCCCCCACCTCTCTCCATCCCAGCTCACTGAAAAATCATCCTATAAAACAAGGCACAGTCCAAGTTTTCCCAAATCACATAGGCTTGCAGGATATGTGCAGGATATGACCCTGACTTACAGCAACAGTAAAAATTCCAGGGTTCCTGGCTCTTGGGCCCACATGGGAATGCAGGGCTTCAGCACCTTGAGACTCCCCCTCCATACCACACCCTCCCGACCCCCGCCCACCAAAGTGTCTCTAAAACCCAAAATATGTCTCAAGGTGCACATGATGGGACACTGCCATTTTTCCACTATGTCTTGCTGGGTGGGTCACTTACCCATCCTGTCTCTTCAAAGGCACTGAGGTCTGCTAGCTGCAGCTGTTGATCCTCTACCTATCACCAGGCACTGGAAACCCCACCAGGTGTCATTCCCGCACCATGCATGCCACTGAAGCCTTCTGTCAGGCAACCTGACCAAACAGGCAGAGCACTCAAAGTGTCCAAACTCCATGGCCATCTGTGGGGAGTGTGCCCTCTCTCCTTTGTGTTATCACCTAGTAAAGGTGCCCCAAAGCAGTATTGCTCCTGCTTCCATTGTCTTACAGACTTGAGTGTAAGAGCTCTTTCAACTTTTTTACTTACCAACCTTTTTCTCTTTGGGATTCAGACATGAATCATTGCAGTATCTATTGTTTCACATTTGTCCACTAATTTCATAAGTGGGGTTAAGTGATTCATGTTTAAAGAGTTCTTAATTTAAAAATGAAGCCACATGAATGTATTAGAGAGAAGAGAAATGGGTTATAAATTATTGAAGTCAGTCCAGAAGTCATTTTGCAACAGGTTTCCTGGGTACATTATTGATAATCAAAGCACCATCATTAAGAACTGCCATTCTTAGTTCTTCATGCTGGTGTCCCACTGTTACCGTAACTCAGCTACTTTCTGCATCTCTGACCATCTCTGACCATCTCCAGGCATCTTTCTACTTCTGTTTCAGATGCCAGGCTAGAGGCTATCTTCCCACATCTCTAGGTCAAATTCCCAAGAAATTAATTGATTGTTCAGCTAATTACCATTCCTCTTGTATGGACATTTGTGTCAGGGCATTTCATGGGCCATTTATGCACCTTTGAGTTAGCAGTGGCCACAAGGTAGTGCCATGTGGTACCAATAAGAACACATGCAGAAGGAGCCTCCCAGGTGGGATTCAATGGGAGTGGCAGGCACTCTCAGGCATGATCTTCCTCCACATGGAAATGAGAACTCCTGTACACGGAGATACTGTACTGGGTACACAGTAAGCTCTCAAATACTAGTTTTAGCTCCACAACTTAAAGAAAAAGTTTCAATTGCTTTATTTGACATTTAAGTCCATTTAGGTTATATCTCAATTTATCTTTATGATTTTATCTATTAGTGTATCTTCCTTTCAACTCTAATAATCAAATCTAATAACATTTGTTGAACGCTAACAATATTCCCGGCCCTTTTCTAGGGGTGTTACACAGATTCATTCATTCAATCCTCACAACACCAAGTACCGTTATAATCTCTATTTTACAAATAAGAAAACGGAGACACAAAGAGATTAAGTAGTTGCACAAGGCCACACAGCTTGTAAATGGCTAAACAAGAATTCAGACCCAGATAGTAGGGCTTCAAAGCCCAAACTTTGACTAAGCCATTCTGCTTCTCAAACATTAACTAGTATTACTAACGTAAGAACAAATAATAAGTATCATGAGCGATTTTTGTATTCCAAACAATGAACTACGGATTCTACATACGTGAATGCAAAATTGATGTTTTGCCCTGTTGCCCTTACAAATAAGCATTTGCATCACAATTCATAGCCAGCAACAAAGGCTGTGTAACTTTTCCTCTAAGCTCTGTATTAGCTGCACCCCTATTTACAGTTTGTTCCTTCTACATTATTCAGTCAAACGGATTTTTTCATTCCCACTGCAATTTCTCCATCAGCCTACAAAATGCTTAGAAGGGTTTCTTTTCAATTTCAGGTATTTGGGGGATTTTCAGTTGTTATTTATTTCTAGTTTATTGTGGTTAGAGAGCATAGTCTGAACGGCTTCATGTTTTGAATGTGCTGGCGTTTTACGGCTTAGCATATGCTCGATTTTGGCAAATGTTCCAAGTGCATCAGGTTTCCACTATTTACAACTACTTCAAAGTACTGACCTTAGCTTAGAAAACCCCGAAGGCTCCTTCTGACATGTGTGTGAGATTCTAAGCACAAAGTAGCCGCTGAAGAGTTAGCTCTAGTTCTTACTTTACTTTCCGTAAGCCCTTTTCTTTTCCCCTTGATTTTTCAAAATTTAACCACTACCGCTTCCAGTTAAAAACAGAAAACGAAAAAGTCCCGTATTAGCCGGTACGTTCCCGGGCGCTGGTCACCGACGAGGCTGGCAGGCCGGCCGCAGTCCCACCGGACACAGTGCCACCCGCGCGCCGCAACCCCAGGGTGCCAAGCCAGGCCGGGAATGAGGGGCGGGGCCCGCCGCAGCGTGTTGACGTCAGACAGGGCTGCGACGCCGCCGGGTCCGCCGCGGCACCGAGGGCCGTGGCCGCTCTCTGAGCGGAGCCGGGCCTGGGCAGCGGCGGGGCCGTAGGACCTCGCGCAGCGTCCGCGGGCCGCAGGGCTGGGGCTGCGGAGGCGAAGCCCCCTCCCCGGGGAGGCGGGGCCTGGGCGAGCTCCCCGCGGGGGAGAGGCGGCCGCCGGGAAGGATGCATCAGAAGCTGCTGAAGAGCGCACATTACATTGAGCTGGGCAGCTACCAGTACTGGCCAGTCCTGGTGCCCCGCGGCATCCGCCTCTACACCTACGAGCAGATCCCCGTGTCCCTCAAGGACAACCCGTACATCACTGACGGCTACCGGGCCTACCTGCCCTCCAGGCTGTGTATCAAAAGGTACAGTCCGGCCGCCAGCGTGGGGCGCGCCGGCGGCTCCTCGTCACCTCAACCCTTTTTGTCTGGTGTCCCTGCTGCTTTCCCCGCTTTCTGCGTGCCTGTCATTTCCTGGCTGCTCCATCCTTTTCATCCTTTTTTAACCCCTCTCCCCTCTCGTTACCTTCACTCTTCCCTCGAGGGGATACTTGATCCAGAGAAGAATAATGATAGTAAGTAACAATGATGATAATTACCAACTCTCCTAAAACGCTTTGCTGTTTACAAATGGCTTTTACATCCCTTATTCCATTTGGTGATTACTGGGATACATGTTGGAATAGACCCCACTGACAATGTCTCAGCCATACTTGGCCCCGTGTGTACCATTTTTAGAGGAGCCCTATGGAAATTCAGATGATTTGGGCCAGATGAATGTCTATATAATAGGAAACAAGTTCACATGCCATATATGTATTGAGAAACCCGTGATTCACTCATTCAGCAGATGGAACCCCTGATAGGTACCAGGCACTATACTGGGTCATGAAGAGAAAAGTAGACATGGCCCTTGTTCTCATGAAGCTGCTCAAGTAGAGCCTGGGTGACACACATTAGAGAGAGAATTACGCCATTACATAACCATTGTGGAAAACACTGTACAGTGAAAGCACTATAGCAAAGGGAGCCTATAACGGGCACCATTGTCCAATAGAGCACCATAGAAGCGTATCTAATAGGGGAATTTCTTCATCATCTAAATCTTTAAAACCGAGAGTCCTTTAAAAGCCTGGGGTTAAAAAAAACAAAACTGAAAAATCAGTGTTTTAGTTCTTAGAATAGCTGTTAAAATTCACTGTATGAACTTAAATATAGGACCCCTCTTTAAAATAATTAAGATACAGATGTTGGCCAGCTTCAGGTTGCTGTATTGACAAACGCCAGGGCCGGGATGTGGGCTTCCTAGTCGCTTAAAGCAGTAACCACGTGTCTGAATGTTGATCTTCGTAGCAGCATGATCTTTCCCCAGATCCTCTTGCCGTCTTTTGAAAGTTTTCCTGTGACTCGCCGTCACAAAGTGACATCACTGTCCATCCCAGCTGGGTTTCAGTGGATGGCCAACAGGACTTAACAATGTGAATCCTAAACATTATTTTCCTCCCTAATGCCTCCTGTCCACCCTGTTCATAAGTTGTTACACTAGGTATCAGAGCTCTGGATGTGAAGTTCCACAAGGATAGAACAGGTAGCGAATTGCCTTAAACGTTTTATACCCACATAGCAGTCATCTTCTGCATTCTGATGTTAGGATCATAATCTTGTGGATCAAGGAGTGAAAATACAGTGCTTTAGATCCTGGGCTGTCAAATCAAAAAAGACTTGGGTATCCAGATCTGCCACTTAACAGCCGTGGAAGCTTGAACAGAAGTTAACCTCTTTGAGCCTTATTTTCCCTATTTGTAAAAATGAGTGTAATTGTAATATCTACTTCAGAAAGTAATGAGAATTAAGTGAGATTATGTATATAAAAATGCTACACAGGGCCTGGTGCCTAATAAGCACACAGTAAATGGTGGCTTGTTATCGTGATCACCGATTTCAAAGCATAACAGATGATAATGATGGAGATGATTATTGATTTTGAAGGTGAACAGAGTATGGGCCTAATTTCTCACAGAATAACAGCAGATCCTCTACTGGGGATCTTCCAGATGCTCTTTCCACCTGCTTCATCTTTTCCAGGTTTGGTGTTTGCCTTCTCTCTTTTAGCTGTCAAGAGTGATCAGGACAGCTTTCGGATATAAGGAGAGGTTTTTTGTGTATCACTACTGTACTGGCAGACCATGCCAAGGTCTTGGACGAACATGCCAAGGTTGTGCCTCTGAGTTTAGTTAATAAGGTTATACTGGGTTTCACAAAATGAACAGTTCTGAGGCAATAGACAAAACATAATACTAATTATCAGAATAGCCCTGTAGTTATGTTCTCTCATATTTCTGCATCCTTCCCCTTGGCCCCAAACATAAGTAGTCTTTCTGCTTGATGCTTGTACAGGATAAATCTGAAATTCATGGTACAAGATCCAACTTAGTTCTGATGATCATTTGATAGTGTGAGATGCTGTTAAATTTATGTACAGAAAATGGGAATTGTGGTGACTGCTGAAAATTCAGTCGATTAGTTATACACTAATCCTTACTAATAAGGATTCTGAAACAGTGAAGGTCAAACACTTAATTTAAACAAAAATTTAATTTAAACAAAAAGATTAGATTTGGCAAGAGAATTTTAATCTTTAGTCACAGTGTCACCTTTTGATGTATACTCAGTGAGTCCTACCCACAGCTGGAGAAGTACTTCACAAAATTCAGGAAGGAGCTAGAAGAGACTTGCAACAGCATTTAATCCAGCCCCTTTGTTTTATAGAGGAAGAACTGAAGTCAGAGAGTTTAAGTGACTTGCTCATGATCACAGAGCTAATTTGTTGCTGAGGATTAGGGTGGAGGGACAAAGAATCTCTTGACTCCTGTTCTGGATGGTACACTCTTTATCAACCTGTGCTTCCATACTTAATCCAGTTAGGACATTTTGAAAGAGGGCAAATAGTACTGATATTAAAAGTAATCTCCTGTTGTTTCTAAAAAGGATAAATTCATACCTCCTGAAAACTAGTTTGGTTACAAAACAACCACAGCGAAGTTGTTCCAGCATGTCTATCTTAAAGGCCATTTCCAGTGGATCAAGTTGTATTTGTTTTGCTTCTGTCCAATCTATTTAACTTTGCATTTGCATTTAATGCATGTTAAAATGGTATTTGAAGTTTGTGCCTAACCATAGACTCAGATAGGTTTTCAGATACCTATCAAAGTATCCTATCTATCATCCAGTTTTAATATACACATTCTTTCCTGTAGACATTTAGTATCTAATCTAAGCAAGACACTCTGCTTGGAACAGCAGTGCCGTAAGGATGAATGGTGTCAGCCCTCAGGGGGGTGATAATCTAGCAGAGGAGATGGAATTTATACATAAATAATATGAGGAAGGAATGTAAATATGGCAGTAGAGGTGAGCACCAAAAAAGCTCTACAATTTCAGGATTGGTGGAGGTGTGGAAAAACTTAAAGATTAAGTAAACTAAGTGATATATCAAATTTAGAAAGGCAAAGATGAGGTTATGGGCTTAAAGTAGCAAGTGTTAGGTGAACCCAAAAACTGTCCTTTAACCTTCTAAATGCTGACAGTTAGTGAGGAGCTAATTTGAATCTGAGCTGCTTGTTGGTTTGTTTTCCAGTTTGTTTATTTTATCTAATGAGACGGTAAACATCTGGAGTCATTTGCTTGGTTTCTTTCTCTTCTTCACACTGGGAATATATGACATGACATCTGTGTTACCTTCAGCAAGTGCGTCCAGAGAAGATTTTGTAATTTGTTCTATTTGTCTTTTCTGCTTCCAGGTAAGTCATTTCACAAACAGTGTTACTGGTAAAGAGAACTTTAGTCAGACAAGCTTGGGCAGGTGACCTTATTTCACACCCTCCTTGCTTTAAAGAGCCCCAAATTGCATATAGGTTAGCTTACTTGCTTTCTTAAATATAAGCTCTGAAAGTATGATTTTATGAGAGTGTATTTGGATGTTATTATTAGAGTATATCTGAAATCTAAAAATTTTAAAGACTGAGAAAATTCCTTTCTCTCCTTTACCCTTTTCCCTCTTTAGACATTTCTGCTTTAAGATTAATGAAAGGATAGCAATCTGATTGTACTCTCATTTCTGGCTGAAGTAGAACACTAGTATCTGCTTAAAACTTGTTTGGGAACATTTCTCATCTTTTTCCTATTTATATGTTTGTGATTTTTGCATTTGTTGTTTCCATACCATCTTAATTTTAATGTCTTGTTTTGCTGATAATTGTGTTTCCTGTTGCTTTAATGTTAATTTCCTTTGGTCCTTTTACACTTGCCTGGTTTCAAATACTTTCAGTTTCTCCTCTTCTACCTCTTGTATTTGTTAATTCAAAGCACTTTCATTTTTCTACAAGAATCCTTAAAAGTGCCTTTAGAAGTTATATTTAATAGCTATTCAAACAGGTAATTCTGAAGAAAACAAATGTGAACCAAAATTTTTAAAAAAATTTTTTTAAGTAATGCAGAGAGTACAGAAATAAAAACAAAAAGAAAAAACTGTCATCCCCCTTCCTCCAAACACAGGCCAGAGGACTCCCTGTAGTTAATCTGTTGATACTCTGTGTGAAAGGTGAATCTAAGTCAGGCACAGACGTTGCTTCCATTGTGTATCATTTGACTTTAGAGCTTCATTATTTGACTCAAGTTAGAACTTTGGAGTTAAGTGACCAAAAATCACATTGGGAACCTCTCTCCCCTTTTTTTCTAATTCTAATTCCTGGAATAATGTCTTAAATTTCTTTGAGAAAAGAATACTCTATTTTTGTGTTATTACTAGAAAGTTGTTTTTTTAAGTATACTCTTTCTTAGGTTTAATTTTTGTCCTGAGTGGAACCTAAACATCTCTTAGAATCTATCTCTAGTTTTAAAATGAAAATGAATCAATTTAATTTTTAGATAAAAATAAATCAAGTTAAATTTTTAGATGTATCTTATTATAGACTGAGATGCTCTCAATAAGCAGAACTGTTCCATACTCAACTGTTGCATAGATACTAATCTATTTTGAGAATCCTAAATGTATTCCCCTACCCCTAGGCCTGACCTTTATCTTGTCACCATCCAGCCACAGCTGATGTTAGTTAAGGAAATGCAAATTAATTTTCATATTGGCCTACGGAAGCAGTTAATCAAAACTAAAAAGATGAAATAACTTCAACTACCAAAGAAGAAATACCCAGAGTGTTACAGTGACTTAACCAGCATTATTCAGCAGGACAGTAAATCCTGTTCTCTTAACTGCCAGTGCAGTGATCTTTCTGTTACATGCTATACAACTTCCTAAAGACAAATATGCACATCTTCCCTACTTAGAAATACCATTTCTATCATTTTTATTTTTATGAAACCATATTTTAACTTGTTCACCCAATTCTCCCAAATTCTTAGAGTCATCAAGAAGCATGGAAAACTGTAAATATATATATTAATAATGATTTACATTTAATTTTTTAAAGACATAACATTTTCTCTCTTTTCACACTTACCCATTTTATATGTTTAGTGCTTTCCTACCAACCAAATAAAGTACACTCTGAATAGCAGAATGTAATTTCAGGGGCTTTGAACTTTCCTAGAGGTCTTTCTATCTTAGAGAAGAATAGAACCTGAGAACACTTTTCCCTAGATTCAGTTCATTTACATTCAGCTGAACAAATATTTTTGGAATGCCTCCTGTCTACACCCAGGCACTCAGCTAGGCTTGGTAATACAGTGCTGAACATAACCACCCTACCATAAAGATCCAGTCACCCAGGCAGGAGGGCAGAAGAGAGAGTGAGGCAGGGCATTGAAGCAGAAAAAAATGAATTGTGTACAGGCCCAGAAGCAAGCAACACTAGCACTTTCTGAACTTGTAGGTGTTGGTCTTTCTGGTTGGATCTTCGGAGAACGGAGAAAGATGAGGCTGGAGAGAGGTAGGAACAAGATCCTGAGGTACTTGGTTATCATGCCAAGGAGTTTAGATGCAGGATGTCACACTAAAACTACCTACCTTGATGAGAGAGATATTCCACAGAAGGAAACTTTCCAGAATACTGAAATATGCTCAGTTGGTCAGATAATTTTTCAGTCAGTATTTTAAGGAACTCTAACGATAACACATCCTTTTTAATACAGAACATTATTATGTGTAGGACAACTTGTTTAAAACTCAGTTGTCTCTATTAACAGTATATATTTTCCTTTTGATACTATAGGTTTTCTCTTTCCTCTTTTATTTTCCTTTTCACAATGAAATTACCTTTATTATTTCTTATTATTAGTATAAGATACTCATGTAGAAGTGTAAGCAAACAAGAAAGTATATGGAAAAAAGTAAAAGTCATCTGAAATTCCACTTCCCAGATGTAACCACATTTGACATTTGAGTTAAAATCTCTCTACTTTTATATACACAAGTGCCTCATGCCTGCCTGCCTGCCTATCTCCTGTGCTTGTGTAGGCAGATGATCAGAGCTATGATCATCTCTGCTTGCTGTTTGGTGCCACTCAACATTATGACAATGAGATCTTTCCCTGTCAAGGGGAATGTACACCTTGATTTCACTAGATTTACTGTGTTTAATGTCAAGAATAATCTAAGAAAACAAATAACCAAGCTTCTTAGAGTTAGGTTTTTTGAGTCAGAAAACTGACTTGTAGCTTAGTAGCCAAAGCTGCAGACTGACAGTGATTTTAGACAGTGGATGAAGCAATGAGATTGTGTCTAGGTGCACTGTTTTGAATATTGATATTGAGTCTACGGGAACTAATTAGGTTTGCTTAATGACCAGACTATAGTAAGATGACCGTTTTTCTGTCTTAGCATTTGCTTACAAAATTTTTATCAGTCTGACCTATTTCATGTTGTTTACCTGTCCCATTTTCTCTGCCTCCCCTGTCACTTAGTATAGGCTCTCATCATTGCTCGTGAGGACTGCTCCTGTAACCTCCCATCTCAGCCTTTCTGTAAAGGTGTGCTTAAAATCTTAAATAGTATCACACCTAGCCCATAGTATTGAAGTTAAAACTCCTTGATGTATAGGACTTGTCATAATTGTATTATGAAGAAATCTACATGACATTCCTTAATGGTTCTGTGTTTCTCAATATGCTGCTTTTCTTGTGGGTCCTCCAGTAAGTATGTGCACATCTTTACATACATCCTTGATGAATATCTGAACAGCCTCTTAAGGTCCAGCTCAGGTGGCAGCTCTTCCAGAAGTTTTGTTTCCTCCACCTGCCAGATAAACACACCCACAGGTCCACTACCCCTCCCTCCTCTGTTTTCTAATGATGCTGTGCACAGACTTACCCTATAGGACTTCTCACAGCACCGTTTGTTCGCTCCTGTCAAAAAAAATTCTCTTTGAGAAAAGAGGTTTCAACTTTGTACCCCAAGGGCATGGTATATGGCAGGTATTTCATGGCAGGGAGTCCAGCCACAGAAACCTTGTCTGTCTCAGGGCAGCTGGTAGAATAACATCAGCCTTGCTCTCTATTTGGCAACATATAAAGTCAGCAAAGCCATAATTTTTTTTCTTGGATACAACAACACCATGTTTAACTTACAACTTAGAAATAAACTATACAAGGAAATCTCATACAGACACGAAAGTCTTATGTGTCTAAGTCTTTTGTGGTGAAAATTAGGTGAAAAAAGTCTAAATTAGGTGAAAAAAAACAAAGTGCAGAACAGAAATATAATGTGATTCCATTTGTTAAAAGTATGTATCGCATATGTGTGCATCTGTGTGTGTGTGTTTAGACTTCTGTATCATAGGTGTTTGATACGTTCAGTGAAAATATCTGGAAGGACACATAAGTGTTATCAGTGGCTACCACTGGGGAATAGGAGGAGCTTTTTTTTACATCATACTGTAATTTTTGTTTTTTTAAGGACATGTATTACTTTTAAGGAGTTTAGTTTAGTAAACTCATTCATGGATCAAAATAAGCCTCAGTTGATGTTTTAAAACATTTACTTGTATAATTTCCCCACTACTATGCTATTCATTTAAATTTTTTGTATTATAAAATGGCTACGATTTTACATTTCATTGTGATTATTTTCCCCTTTTTACCCATGAGGAAACTGAGGCTTAGAGAATGACACAGCTTGCCTGACTATAAGGCACAAAGCTAGAATCCAAGCCTGGGTCTGTCTGGCTGGAAAGCATGGGCTTGACCTGACCGCTTTCCTTGCTTTAATTCCTCATGTTTCTCTTACCTAAGATCTGTCTTATTATCCACAGGTCTGTATGCTTTGCTCTGTGGGCTATCATCTCTTTTCTTGCCATCGGTCAGAAAAAACCTGTCGAAGATGGATGGCATTAGATTATGCAGGAATTTCTATTGGAATACTGGGATGCTATGTCTCTGGAGTATTTTATGCATTTTATTGTAATAATGTAAGTAACTTAAAACATTTTATATTCTACCTTTAATATAGGTCTTGAGTTTTCTTGCCATGTTTCTCTTGAACTTATGAATAAGCACATAATTAACTTACAGAAAAAAAATAGAAGAGTTGGGTAGGCATAAACTCATTTTTTCAGAAGGGCCCTGTGATCTCTAATATCTGTTATCTGCCCCATACTCATTTTACTAATTTCCCATCAAAATATATTAAAGTTATATTCTGAAACATAATGTAAAACATTAAATTATTCATGTTACCACTAAATCCATATAGCTAACATGGTTCCTCAGATACACCTTACATGTTTTGTGATTATAGAGTTCAAGTTAAACAAAGTTAGCACTTGATAAAATTATGAAGCTGGCTGCTGCTTTCCATTTTCCCTTTGCATCCTTTACTCCTCTCTCAGTGAAAAAAAAGGGGGAGATATATCTAAGTGTGTTGACCCATATTCTTTTATAAGAAATATGTCTTTCCTTCCTTAGTCTTATATTTGGAGATAGGCCTAGAGGCAGACAAGAAAGGTGGTGAGTGTCTTTAAGAAATACATGTCTACTCTGAGTTCTAAATCCACTCTGAGTTCTAAATCCACTCTACTTTCTGACTATAATGTCACAACTGTCATTTTTGCCTTATGCAAAGCATCTAAAACACTGATTAGATTATACAGCACCTGACCTAAACATGTTGACCACCCTAACTAGAATACACCCCCCTAGCTCATCACCTCATGTCCTAGCCAAGAAAACAAATGAAATCTCCCATAAGCTCAGTACATTTCAAGCTCTCCCATTCACAAAGTCCCCTGAAACCCTGCTCCCTTTTCCTCTTGCTTTCTTACCATCCTCTCTTTTTTGCTTTTGTCCTTTCAGTCCCTTCCATTCAAAGGCCAGACTGAGCTGCTCTCTCAGGGGCAGTTTATGGACTAGTTCTTCTAGCCCTATTCACAGTGACTAAAGCCTGTCCTGCTTGAGTCCTCCTATGTAGCAGGTGCTCCAAAGCTGTAATCCCCAGCCTTTGCTCACTGAGAAAACTGGCAGTAACACAGGATTCCTTTAACTGCTGGGAATTCTTAAGTAGAACCTTTTATCTACACAGTAACAAATAACTGCCAACATAGCCAGAAGGTAGAGCTAGCAAAGAGGAAAACTGTAAATTTGGCTTGAATGTAAGAACATAATTATAGCCATTTAACACATGACATTTGCTTTTTAGGCCTAATTACTTTAGAATATAAGCATATAATTAAATATATATGCAGTTAACCTTATAAATTGATTTTATTTTAGTAGTAGACTATTCATGTCTGTTCAGCTTTTACAACTTGTTTCACATTGAATGGTTTAAATCTTTTAAAAAAAAGTAGAGCAAACACACTTGATAAGTAGGAACTTGTAAGTGCAGCCATGTAATATTTGGACTGTTTTGCTTGCCTTATTCTCTATTTCTCTGAAAACTGTTTTCTATTATCTCTTCCCAACATATCTGATAATTAAGGAGACTGACTAGTGGGACACTTTTTGCAAATCTCTAAAGAAAAAATAGAAGTCCAAAGTAGATTAAAGGAAAAAGAAAACTATTGGAACTAATACAGTCCTTGATCATTTAAAGGAAAAATTTTTTTTTTCCCTCTGATATCTAGTCATTTCCAAATAATTCAGTTGCTGTAGTGGCTCTTTAGCTTTGAAGGGATACAGGCTGCTTTGAGAATGAGATTGAAAACTATAGACCCTCCATACAGAAGGATGTACATTTGGGCACAGACTAACCAAGCAATTTGATATGTGATCTCAGAAAGCTAATAGCTCCACTAAAGTCCTTGGAGCCATATTAAGAACTCTGTCCTATGTGCTCCTAACTTTTGAGCTTCAAGAGCAGCTTTTCAACTGCTCATTTAGATACCTAAATATTCTCTAAGCCCTTTAAATATATTTTTAACTAAACATTGTTTCATGCTTCCCCCTTCTCTCCTCTTAACACACACATACCACAGCTGGATTGTTCATTTGCTCCATGAGTAGAAGCCATTTGCTGCCTTTCCTACTAGAAACAGTCGAGCCATCCTCTTCTGTCGTCACACATCAGTCAACCAGTAAGACTGGTTTATTTCAAAAATGTCTCCTGAACCTGATGCTCCCATCTGTCTTCTTTGTTCAGTAAGAGTCCAAGCCCCCACTCTCTCTTTGAATCAATTACTCTGGTATATCTTCTAGCTGGCTTCCATTCACCTTTCTTTTTTACACTGATGTCAGTTTTCTTTCTAGTAAGTCAATGTGAGAAACAACCATGGCATTTCATTTTTACCAAACCTGCTGTCCCCCCCAGTGCCAGGATGGTTAAGTTCCACACCCTTAGCCTGACAGCCCTCTGGCCTTTCAGCCTCCCTGCTCATCCCCATGGCAGGTGCTGCTCCTTTTCCTCCAGTGCCCCCTCTTTCCCACCAAATCTCATTTTGTCCTCAAGATCCAGCTTAGGTTTATCTTCTGCATGAAGCATTTTTTATCTACTTTAGGTAACACCAATTGCTCCACCTTCCATGGTTCTGCAACATTTGTGCCTAAGTCAGATACTTATAAACAGATGGTCATTGTTTGTTTATATTCTGCCCCTCCCACAGCCTGTGAGCTCATCCCCTGGGAGAGTCCGAGTCATAGCTTTGTTTCCACCAGACTTAAATTGTCCCTGGTATAGGATAAGTACTTGGAAAATGAAAATGCTTCTGTATGAATAAATGTGTTCTTTACCAGCCCACTTTGGAATGTGGTTTGTCATCCTAAGAAACCTAATGGTGGTAAGGAGTACACATTGTTTTAAGAAAGGAAGGTAATCATTTTTAGAAATGAAAATACCAAGTAATACCAAGTTTGGAATGTGTAATGTGGAAGCCAAAATTACTCTTTCCCTTCCCTTATTTTTAGTAACAGTACCTATGTGGTTTCCTTTCATTCTAGTATTGGCGTCAGGTGTACTTGATCACAGTGCTTGCTATGATCCTGGCGGTGTTCTTTGCCCAGATTCATCCCAATTACCTGACACAGCAGTGGCAGAGGCTCCGTTCTATCATCTTCTGTTCTGTTTCGGGATATGGAGTAATCCCTACTCTTCACTGGGTTTGGCTCAATGGAGGAATTGGTGCTCCTATTGTACAGGTAAGTTGAGTGTAGTCAGTATTTTTCCCATTTTTTTGTCCTTTCAATTTTATTCCTTTTGGATAAAGTAGTGTAATCAGGCCAAGTGGGTGGTCTTTGTCATTCAAGAACATATTTATAACTGCATACTGATGCCATAATTTTTAATCTGAATAAGCATACCTTGCAGGAGTATAAGTCTAGCTACTTTTTTTTTCTGAGGTGTCTATGAAATTATAACATTCTTAACTCTCTTTCTGTTACCCTTAGTGTATAAATAGCCAAGTCCTTATAGAGGAGTACTCCTTAGTTTCCAGCTTTGTCAGCTGGGTCAGTGGATAATACAAATATGGAAGTAGTTGCAGTTGATTCGTTTTATTTATGTATGTATTTTTGTGTGTGGAGGAGGAGGAGTTGGGAAAGGTTTTTTTCTTGGACCTGTTGAGTTTGAGGTGTCTGTGGGATGTAAAGGTGGAAATAGTCTCTGGAACTGACATCAGAGTTTGAGACTGTGATTTGAACATCATCATATCAGTAGCAAGAGCCACAGGAGTTTATTCTGTCCACCAAGGAAAATATATTGAGAAATAAATGAACTGTTAGAGTTAGGCATTAGGGGGAACAGTTGGAGTACATTTGGAGGAACATAAGTGAGACTTCAGTATGCTTGAGAAGGGGATTAAAGATGTGACTTAAGTTCTTAGAGATCCATTTAAAACTAGAGAGTACATATATGCTAGAAAGTAAACTTGAGAATTTTTAGCATAAGTAAATATGCCAAGAAATCTATTAGACACCACATACACTTGTAGTGAGACCTTTGTCTGGAATATGGGATTTTGCAGGCTTTATTCAAAAGAATCCTATTTTCTTAGAAGATGGGGTACTAATCGTAGGCATATATGTACTTGCATGAAGTTGGCCACAGCATGGTGGAAGCATTTGAGTATAAATCTAAACTGAAGGAGAGCTCTTTGATATAGTGAACTGAATGTCATCAGCACCTTTGCCAGCTTGAGGACAAGGGTGATACTTTCTTCATAAGATTAGGAAATTGGAAGAAAGATGAGACAGTAATAATAAGGAATTTCAGTGATCCAGTGATTCACTGATCCAGTGATCAGTGATTCAGAGAGAGAGAGAGAGAGAGAGAGAGAGAAGCACTTAGCCAGAGATGAAAAGCTCCAGAAGGGCTAATCTGGTTGGTATAGTGGAGTTGGGGACTAGAATATTTGAGAAATCTGAGGCTGATTAGTCTGAGAACATAGGATTTAGATAGGGCCATGATAATTCCCAAAATATGTGTAGAGGAAGAGAAGTAATTTGTCTTTATTTCTTAAATGGTTTCTCGGCAAATTAGCTTTATAACCAGAATTGGAAACAGTATGGATGAATTATAACTGGCTGATTTTCTTAGGGCAAGGAAAAGCTTTCTCGCAGAGATGTGAGATGGACTGCTTCATATAGTGGTATTCCAGAGGACCGTTTATCTGGGATGATGGAGCTTTCATTATTGGGCCCAACCTCTTTGGTCTTTTTCAGCCACATGTCCATGGTCTTTAGTCTCTTGGCTTATTCAGCTGGTAACTCTGTTCCCATATGTATTGTACCCATGTTCCTGTGTTACAGGTAGAGTCAGATGTCCCTAGGACCTCAGCCATGTGACAGCTCTAGCTCCATTAGTACCTCTAATACTGGAGACTGTCTGCAAAAGCAGCTCAGATTTAACACACTTTAATTCCACCTATGAATCCTAGTTAATCTGTGTAGTAGATTCATAATACATTCAGGATTTAACGAGCTGTGAAAAAATGTTTTGCTTTTTCAGGACTTTGCACCCCGTGTAATTGTGATGTATGTGATTGCTCTTCTTGCTTTCCTGTTCTACATTTCCAAAGTTCCAGAACGGTACTTTCCAGGTGGGTGTCACTTTTACAGTGATTTTTGTAACTTTATTCTAAGCATAGGGTGGAGGTATATACTTCAGAGCATCAAAACTCAGATTTATTTTTTCAATATTGTTGATTATGTAATGGCTCTCCTATTTTCAAGTGTTATCTGAAACTTTCACTTTTAAAGGGCTTTCACAGACTTCTTTTCATGCTTATGTGTCGAATCCAGTAGGTGGGGTTACCACCATTTCCCAATTAAGAACTAGTGACAAAGCTGGGGGTTTTCTAACTGAGCAGTTTTTCCAGCCACTGCTTTTTTTGGAAATACTAATTATCAATTATGATTAACTTCTTTATTTACAAGTGTAGTCTTAAAAAATAATTTATATTTGCAGAGATTCATTAAAGAAGAAGAGACAAAAAAAATAAGATGATGAAAAGAAGCCCAGGTTTAGAATTATTTGGCAGTATATCCATCATAAGCTTCTATAAAATAAAGGCCACCAGTCTGCCTATCAGCTTCCAGGTGCTCAGTGCTAAGGGGAAAATAATAAAAGTTAGGGGTCTTTATGTCCCCAAGATATACATTAAAAAAATAAGAAGACACTCGGTGGAGTGAATAACGTTCTCCAAAACTGTATTTGCCTGTTAACCAGCATCAGCTTTCAAGTCAGACTGCTGGGGTTCAGATCCCACATCAGACACTTAGTAGCTATGTGAGCTAAATCAGTTAGTTAAACTTTCTCAGCTCATTTCCTCACCTGAAGCATGGAGATAAATACTTTCTCCATCAGGTTATTGTGAGGATTAGATGAGAAAATGCATGTGGAATATTTAGCACAGTTCCTCATAAGTAGTAAGCCCTCAATTATAATATCTCTCAACCTCCATCTCACAAATGAAATATGTGCTTTTGATGCAAGTCTAAGTGGGCCTAGAAGGGAGTCATTTAAATTCATACTCCAAACTTGTCCCTCGTTCATCCTGGGTTAAAATCTCTCCCACAGTGAATCAGATAGGATTCTGCCACTTATCACATGCACTGAAGAAAGGATGCAAACGGCTCTTGGAGAGAACACACAGACCACAGAACCTCAAGCATTCCTCTTTGCACTTGGTTTTTACCATGGAGTTTTAAATAAGAATGGAATATAAAAAAGAACCTGAGTGTAACTCTTAGGATTCGGGAACATAAGTAGGACATGTCCCTGAATTGAAGACCACACATTCTCCAGGCAGGGCCAGAATTTTCTTCAGAAAGCAGTTCTGGTAAAATACATTATTGTATCACTTTGTTAATAATTCATTTATTGTTGATTTCTTCATCATCACAGATACATGTAGAAAATTGAACTGTGAAAGTTCCCTATACTAAATGATTATGGCAATAGTGTTTTTAGGCCTTAAAATATTCAGATCAGATGTTACCAGTTGTCTAATATAGGGCACTCATAAAAATAAGTCACATATTATGCAACTTTTCTCCAAGATGAACTTGACATCAAATAGCCCTGTGTAGCTGACTGTGGTGGGGTATGGGTGCATTTGAGCAGTGGGAATATGTAGAATATGGGAAAATGGAAAGTCTTTACAGATAAAAGTGATAGTGTCAGATGTTCATGAATGAATGGCTTAGAAACTTCAGCCAGTCCTCCCTTGTGACCTGGCTGTAAAGAGAAACATGCACAGTGGTGGTGAGATGGTGAGTGAATACTACAAAGTCAAAAAAATGAAACCTGAGAACAAATACTTTCCCTCTGGTCAAGTTTTTAAATATACATAAACATCACAACGCTTTTGATGGGTCCAAGGATTTCCAAGGTGTCTATGAACAGAAGTAAGTGGATATGTGTACTTGTATTACAGTATAATCAATTTTCTTCATAAGCCTCTGTATTTTTAGGCTTTTAAAAATAAGTATTTGGGCTTTACCAGCCTGTGAAAGGGTTCTGTGGTACCATAAAAAGGCTAAGAACCCCCTACAGAAAGGATTCTGTTAACTTATCCTTTAAATAATCTACATACTGTACTCATTTTTCTTGGTAAGAAAAGACAGTAGAGAATATTTACATTACATAACCATAGAAGCACCATGACTAAGAAAAAGTTACTTAAATTTCAACAGCTTTGTATTTTGTTATTTTTCAGAAGTTTCGCAGATGTTATTTAATTGCCTTGGAATTTAAACTTTTAACCACAGAAGAAATTGATAGTTCTAAGTTGTATACGAACTCATCAACCTTAGTTAGTTAACCCATTACTAATTACATTTTTCACTTTATTCCATTAGTCTCATAACAACAAGATTCAGGTCAGCTTTCTGCTTACACACCTGCCTGAAGTAGAAAGTATGTCCAGCACACATTGAAATATAACAGCATATCTGCTTCATACCTAACTCTGTGATTTGTAGAACTAATTTCCTTTGCTTCTATCATATCTTTTCTTCACTAGGTAGGTAAGATATGGGAGACAAAAAGGTCAAATTCCTGAAATTAACCAAGTTAGATTTTGAAAACACACTTAGAATAGTATTTCTAACATTCACCAGTATATTCAATGAGTAAAACCTTATAATTAGACTCAAATGAATTCATCCTTTTTTAAAACATTTGGGTCTGAATTACTCTCTAGCCAATCTCCAGGTGCTCTGAGACTGCCAAAATATTTTTGCTGCTAAGCCGTATTTCCAGGCCCATTGATAAAAATACATATTTTAATATCAAAATATAGTTATACTAAATATTCTTTTCTCTTTACCTTCCCTTCCAGGACAACTAAACTACCTTGGATCAAGCCACCAGATATGGCATATCCTTGCAGTGGTGATGTTATATTGGTGGCATCAGTCAACAGTGTATGTCATGCAATACAGACATAACAAACCTTGTCCTGACTATGTTTCACATTTATGAATTCAGGTATGGCCACCTGGTGTACTCAGTTGTTAAGCAATATATAATGGGGAGTTGTATACCCCACTATTGCTAAGATTCCCATTCATTTTTCATTTTTCCTCTTGGTTAATACATCATGAGTAGTACTTTATAAAAATGGAAAAATATACTTGGGGATCTGTAATACTAACTGCTTTATGGGCCCTTGAAACTACTAATTTGCTGCTTGTATGTGAAACATCTGAGTAACAATAAATATGAAACCAGTTTAGAAACAGTATTCATTTTAGAGTAATACCAGATTAATTTTCTTAAGAAGGGCTTTACCTCCATTATAAAATGGAGTTATCCTGTGTAGTTACTTTAATAGAAGATATTTACAGTCGATAATCAAGTGTGTACCTAATCAAGGCAAAGGTTACATACAATAGTCTGCTTATTAACACAAGCTAGGATATGTCTTTAAATAACATGATTTGTGAGAAACAGGCACTTAAGCTACAGGTTCTCCTCTCCTCAGAAACACTGGATTTTTTTTTTCTCCTTTTTTTTTAGTTGACTAGAACAAGAACTTGAAACCTCTTCTTTTAGAGAAGCATTGAGGAGAGGAAGAGGACTTGCATTGTCATTTCCCATCAGATAAGAATCATATTAAAAACTGAATACATGTTGCCTGATAATCAGGCAACAAATTCTGTGGTCTGGTAACCAAGTTATTAGCCATTTAAGCCTTTTAATTTCAAATATTTAATTCCATATAATAGACTCTTGCCAATTACAGATTTGTGGTTCCAAAATTCCTGTAGCAAAAGAGCTTTCACCTCTCTGAATTTGCAGTCCTAAACTCCCTGATGATGGGGGTTCCCAGCTATGTGGGTGCTACTTTCAAGGCCATAGAATCCAGATGGCCCAGTCTTGACCCTGAAGTAAACCTTAAGCCTTAGAACAAAGTCATGCAGATGCCTCATTGGATGATGTGATTATTCACCTGTGCTCTAGTCTTTATGTACATGTTATTTAAGCATTGTATTGATAACACAGAGTATTGATATATACTATCTAGTATTTTAAAACATTAAATTGCTCTTTATTGCATATATTTAAAAAATAGATCTCACTGCCCTGTCATACAACCCAACATTCTTGTTCTTTGGTCTTTTTATATGCATAAATTAAATCCCTTAAAGCAGTCATTCATAAAAACATGTTGCTTATTGGAATATAAAATATTACCAAAAAGTTTCTTAATGAGTTGACATAAGCTGCTTTAAATACTGGTTTATCTTTGAACACTGGAATTTCTAAATATCAGAAGTGTTAATTGATGGTGAAGCTTATTCCCAAAATGCCATTTTACATCTGATATTAGGAATGTTACTTAATGTGTTTATGAGTCTGTAAAATTTTGTATTTCTTTTCAGTATAGGTTTTTTGGAATATAAATTCCCCACACTAGTATCTCAGCAAGAATTTTGCCCCAGTAGGCTAAGGGTGTACTGTTATGGTACCATTATGATGGAAAACACTACTTTGAAAATAGCTTACTTCATAAAGCCACAAATCTGCTCTATATGCTAAGTGATGAGACACTTTGGTGTAATAAGACATATTTTCCCTAAAACATCCCTTATTGGCTTATACATATTATTGCTTTTAAATATATATTCTGTCATTTTGGCCAAATACACTAAGTAGTTAGTTAATTTAAAATGGAGAAGTCTAGTTACTTTAGGTCTAGCACCATTTTTATTATACAATCTTCTCAAAATTAAAACATATTGAACCTTTAGTTTCATTTTCTTTTATTTTTTAAAAATCTTCCTGGCTTTTATAATGTATGAATATTTACCTGAATTAATGGATAAAAAGAGCATACTGTATTTAAAATTGTTTTTTGAATTTAAAAAGCATACAAGTCTGACTATAGGGAGAATTATGAGGTGAACATTTCTTTTTTCATGCAAATGTTAAATATTGTAAGAAAGCTCTCATTTTTATCTTAACTATGATGTATTTGTTATAAAGTAGGGAATGAGTAAGTGTGGATTGCTGTCAACTATAAACATTTCTGTATTATCAGAATTTATTGACCACCTACTGTGTGCATATCACTACTGGCAAAATTTTTAAGACATTGTTAACATTAACTATTTAAGAATTACCTAGAGATCTAAGCCTTGTAATAAGGTATATTTCTGTTTTTATAGATTTGGTAAAATAACAAGTACACCATTCAGCTATAGTAGTAAAAAAAACTGATTTTAATTTCACCAATGTGTAAACTATGAAAGCTCTTTACCTACAGCCTTTACATTTTAAAATTATCCATGGCTGTTTTAAATTATCTATGATGACTTGTAAGGTTGTAGTTAGCTCATTTAAGAGACAATTATTGTTCTATATAAAGCCATTTTCAAATAGCAGGACAGTGCTTGTCTTTTTTTATTATACTAAATGTATTCCAGTAAGCTGCATGGCAAAATATGTATTATGTAAATAAACTGGATTTACTAAATATATTAAGTGCTGCTTGTCATTCTTTGTAATACATAACAGCTTCAAAATCGTATTTAGAACCAGGAATGAAGACTCAGGGAATGTCTGTCACATCTTATGGCATCCTACCTGGACACAGTATCCGATTCGAAGATTGTGATTGACTGACTGGCATACGCTGTAGAACTCTCCATTTGGCAGGTACCTATCTGGAGATATCCTTTGCCCTGTATTAAATGTTAAGGGGTAAAGCCTGCACTCTGAATCCCTGCCAGTTGCTGAGCTGAACAGGTGTGTTTTCACCCCAATCACCATTCTGGTACTACAACCCCTCCTAAAGTGTGTGAAGTAAGCAATCAGCTCAGCTCTTAGGGGATCTATCTCTTATACACATTATCACAGTAACTGTTCACATTGGAAAAGAGGTACACATGCTATTAAGTACCAACATCCCGATTCTGTACCATACATCCCAAGTAGGGAAGAAAGATAAATAGCCAAAACCAAAACTACTTTTGAGGAACCATTTTCAGAAAGGATATTATAATAGCAATAGGGGCCTCTTGTGAAAAGTGAACCTGCCGTCCTTATAGGGCAGGAATAACAGCCACCAGAGTTCTAGTCCTGCTTTGTAAATCTGGGATCAAAAATAATACAACCGTCTGACCTAAAGTGAGCTACAAATGAAACTTCAAATGTTAATGCTTTCAATATGAGAATATTAACTACATCTTAATATGATGCTGGAGATGGAATTAGCTACTCAAATGAATAGCTCTTTTTGCAGCATATATTCTTTCTAGAGAAGTAAACTATAACTGAGGTTGGATAGTTTACATTACACAGGTCTTTTTTATATAACTTTTCTAGTCATTTGTAATATTTTACTCCTTTGTATAATTTATCAAAAATACACAAAGCCCTTACTTTTCCACATAATTTAAGATAAGTATTACTACTTAAAAAAAGTTTATTCATAACAAAGAAGAGGAATCTTCCACAAGCCACCAATCTAAAGACTAGTTTGTGGAATAATACATAAGAAAATACTATGATCTTGACACTAAACTTAGTCCACCAATCCAATAAATAGGTTTTCTCTTTAACATGCTAAAGTCTCTTTACTGACATAACAAAGGGTTACAGTATTTTATTTAACCAAATGTTTAAGTTATACGTGTCATCAGTTTTTGAAGAATATAGAATGCCAAACATTCAATAGGTACTTCAGAGTCTGATGTTTTTGTCTTACCTTCATCAGTATGATCAGTAATTGTACCTGAACAAACTGTGCTGGTAAGTGTTTTTGTCGCAAAAATGCTAGGTCAAAATGGGTTTTCTTACTTAAAACTGAGTCCGTAAGAACAAAGGTCTGATCCTATTCATTTGTTTCTTCCACTAGCTGGTGCACATAATTGGTGGTGCTTATCTGTGGTGTGAATGAAAGAACTGAATAAATGAAACTTTTTTAATATGGCAAATGAAAAACTCCAAAGTCACTGATTATAAAGAATATGCAATCCATTTGGGATTTATTGCATTTAAAGAAAGCAGATTATTAAAACAGTAGGTATGATAAATACAGTAAGAAAATAAATTTAAATTTCAAACAGCAAAGTGAATGAGGGACAGAATTCAGTTGTGAATAAGCAGTCTAAAGGCAATGAAGTAGTAAAATCCATTACTGCTTAATAAGATAGAAGAAGAAAACAAAAGCAACTGACAGTTCTATTTCTTAACAGTTTCCCAGCTAGCTATATCTGAGGACTGAAGTTACTTTAGAAAGTAACAACTGGAAATAAAATGAAGATATAAATCAGGCTTATTAAAGTTATTTGCTTAGTGGTACTTAAAAGGCTTCAGAAAATTCAAGTTTAACAAAAAATTGAAGTGTAATCAAAGAAAGTGCACTTAAAGCTGTTTGCCAGCAATTAAAAAATAGCTTACTACTAATATACTGCTTACTATTAGATCACTTTCCAATCACGAAAAGAGCATAGTAATAAAAAAAATTCTCTTTCAAAAGTGGCACAGTAACTTCTTAAATAAAAATAACCCCAAATGATGACCCTTTGCATTTGCATCTGTTTACCTTATTCTTACTAAAAGCAAATGTTCTTTTAGTAATGATTGTGGTAGCAATTTCATTTAAAATTTAAAAACTCACATCAACTCCACAGTAGAGAAATGTGACATGTTGCATGCATGTGTTTATGTATCTTGATATATAAACACCATTGTGTATAAAAATTCTCAAATAAACATTTGTTATTCTCACAGTAAATATGTCATCTCTTTCTCACAGATTTGTCAGATCAATTAGACCTAAAACAATGAGTAATTTTGCTAAAAAGTTGACTGTACATTCTACATTTATTAAAACAGGTACCCAAACTCCTCAGAACTAGTGATATTATGACATATGTACCTTCCAGCAATGCTTACATGAAGTACCAAAACTTAAAATAAACCAAGCAGAGTAAATGAACAGTAAAACTACTCTGCCTGATGAACATCAGAGTAGAAGAGTGGGCTCCACCTTAGTATTTTCCACCAGCAAGATGAGGACAGCAATATATTGCTTACTCTGTTATCAACAGGGTAGGATCAAAAGGTGCATCTATCTATAATTCCAAACAATGTCATAACTGTGCCCAAACACACACACACACACAAGGATGGGGCCAGACAGTGGAAGAATTAACACCATTTCCCAACCAATCCTTCTGAATAAATATTAAATTTTCACCGGGGAACAACCTTTCCTCATCTAAAATATATACCAAGCAACTTTTGTATCTTAGCAGATACATTCTTTGATGCCATAAAACCTGATCTTTTAGCACTAACATTTTGGCTGAAGTGATAATATTAAAGTAACTAAGTAGATGGTCCACTTTTAAAACAATTATTCATAATCAATAAGCATTAAAGCTGTTAGGACAGAATTGACTTTGGCCTCAGATTTTTGCTAGCTTCATAATGTACTTCCCTTGGTGATGTTCAAGTATTACAGGTTTAGAGTTATGAGTACTTTACATACAAAAGAAGCACAAAGGATACCTGATTAATAATAGGAAGATAATTTCTTCCCCATTTTCCTTCCCTAAATAATTGGGCCATCCCATAGCGGAGCCAGACTTTTACCACTGAGTGCAAGTGCCAAGTATGTGCTAAGTTCTTTCACGTCTTGGGAGCTTTATTCTCATAAGGGAATTTAGCTGGGCATCAATTGTGTGTGGAGTGACATAAATCCCAACCGTAGTGGCAGGTGACAATGGGAAATGGAAAACAACCCTAATCCTGTACTCCTTGGGAAAATGCTTCTACTTTAACACAAAGTAATCTCCCTCTTTCTATTTCACTGGGTTCAGTGAATCTTAAATGTTTCCTCTGAGCTATAATCTCAAAGAGGAAAGTCACTGAGCTATATAATAAAATAAAAATAAGGATGTAAGTATTTTAAACAATGTCAAAGTTACTTCCTTAGACTTTATCCAACATAATAAGCCAGAGCATCTACATCAGTGTCTAAATCATTTAAAATTACTCAGTGTATTGAAAAGCAAGTGTAAGCAAGGCCTTGGTGTCAGATAGACTAAGTATTTCATGTTTACAAGCCAAGGAGATGCCAATTCACCCACTTACCCCTTCTAAATTACAAAACTCATAAAGCCTAGCAAAGACTAAGGCAAGGACTAAAAACACTTAAAGAAGCATACTGTATATATACCAACCAACAGATTCTCATTAAAAAAAAAAACTTGTTTGATACAAACCTACTATAGTTCATAAATTTACTTTATGTAATCATCAACTCTTCACTTTTAAAAGAAAGTACCACTTGAATCTACACCATAAGGTTTTAAAGAACATCTACTTGAGCATTTGTATTAGCAGTATTAACCTGAGAATCAGAAAAAAAAAGGTGCAAATGTAGTATTTGCCTTTGGCACAAGACAGTTGGTGCAGTCGGGCTCTAGAAGTACAACTCTTAAGTAGTAATATAATGTTTGGTCTACCTCTGCTGACTGTGATTCACAGATTACTTCCCTGTTTGTCCAAACATTGGTATCTAATTTAAAATATAAAAGAGAAGCAATAAAAAAAAGAATACACACTTTAGTTACATACACTTTGCTTTCCAATTTTGGAACTGTGAAAACAAGCAAATAGCTCATCCCAAATGGGGCACTATAATTAAGAGATTCTAATAAGATTACTCATAAAATATACTTTAATTGGGTTCAAAGAGAGTTAATTTAAAATAAAGCAATCAAGGAGCATGCCAGTTGATAATAGTTTCTGCCCCTTTTTGTAGATTTAACAGCTCTAGAAACTTCTAAGTATTATTAATTTGATAGGGAAGAACAATTAATTATAAAACAGTTGAAGACATAGGAAGCACAGATACTGTATTCACATTAATTCATAAATGTCTATCTTATTAAACAATTTCTAGAAAATCTCAAGTTTCTAATTTGGATTTGTGGTGTAAAAAGAAGGCAATTTGGTAGCTAGATTCTTTTTACTAAAGACACATCAACTAGCAGAGTTGAAATGCTAGGCCCTCATCACCTAATCCCTTAGACCATTTGAAGGTCCTGCATACTAGTGCAGAGGTACTTGCAGCAGGAGGCAAGAATCCTGCCTATAAGGCTTTGTGGGTTATGCTGTTCTGTGCACTTTATTAATAAACTACTTCAACTGCCAAACCTAATAAAAATTGTTGTTCGCGACTTGGGGAATATTGGGTAAAGGTGGTAATTTAATAAAGTATTATTAAATGCAACATGATTTTACCCTGTAAACGTCTTAAAAACTCAGGGTTCCAGCTACTTATTTTTTTCTTGACGTAAAATTTCTACATAACCCTCTCCTCACTCCCAGTTTTTCCAATAATCTGCTTTATTAGGGACATAATAAAAGTTTTGAGCAAGAAATCATTCAAAAACAAAAACATATAGTGTTTCTGAAATGTTTTTCTTCTTCTGTGTCATTTTTTTTTTACATTTTCCCACTCGACATTTCTTCTCTTTAGTTTTTGTTGTAGCTTTCAATGCAGATATTCCATAATAATGGCACTTCTTTTTAAAAATGAAACTTTAGGCACAATAGTAAGTTACTTCTGGCTCTGCTTATAGAGAAAGGTACAAGGACTAAAATCTCTGCACTCTCCAGATAACAGCTTTCTAATTCTTCACAAGAACTAGATTTTTTGTGTGTGTGGAAATTAGAAGAGACTTTTTAAAAAATCCACAAGTGCAACCTGTGTATGTATAAATAACCTTAGTTTTAAATGCTGATTCTGGAATGAATCTGGGATATGCACACCCAAGTGACATTCTGTTATAAAAGCAATGACTTGACTTTCCAGCTCCTTTTCAGTGGCTGTGCAGCTGGAAAGACGCCATATGCGTTCCTGCTGTCCTGGGCCGCCCTGTCAACAGCCAGACCCTGGGTCAAGCTTGCAGCGTGGCTCCCTCTCCTCCTCATGGAGGGGACAGCACGTCACTGCCCTGCGGAGAGACTTCCTCATTCTGTGTGGTTTATTTAAAAATCCCCTAGTATGACTGACCTGTAAGAATTAATGATATAAAGAGCTATACAAATAAATTTTCTTTCAAATCCATAAAACTGTTCATACTTTTTTGAAACAGGAGTTAATGCCAAGAGTCTGTCAGAAGTATCTACTGTTTAGAAGGAAATGGAGCAGCACCAAATGGGTCTAATTCAACTGACTGGGACTGTTGGGACTGATGTGAAGTGACACTTTGCACCACAAGTTCTGTAAAGGGCACGGCACCAAAATCGTCCATCTTTAACACCTCTGCGCTATGGAATGCTCCATGCCGTGAATTCGGTTTTGGCCGCCCAGGCAGCACAGTATTATGATCGGCACAGATGTCGCTCAGACCCTGATGTGAAGAGTGCCATGGCACGTCTGGTGGCTGGAAGGGCTTGGCACCAAAGGGGTCCAACAGACTCTCCTCAGGCTGCAGGACATTCCCTCTGTCTTTCCCATCAGTCAGTGCAACACTAATGTTCTCCTTGGAGTCTGAGATGGTTAAAAATTCATTGCTGCTTTGAGAGTCTCGGCGGCCCACCTTTTTGTGCCTGCGCGCCCTCTCTGGAGTGCGGTAGGTGGGCTTCACAGTCTTCTTCGTGCTGGCTGGCGTGCCATGATGCCGCTTCCCGTTACTTTTGGACACATCCTGCTTTGTGCGCCTTTGGCGAGAGGACAGTTTCTGTAAACTACGCTGTTTGACTTTTTGTTGCTGACTCCCAGCTATTTCCTCAAAGGGCACAAGCCCAAAAAGGTCCTCACTGCTCTCACTTTTAATTGTTGAGGTGGGAAAGGGCTGAAATGGAGTGGAGCCAAATATATCTACACTTTTGGGACAAGCAGGGAGAGCATGTGCTTCAGGCCCCACTGCATGGCAGTCTTGTACATTCACCTTCTTGCTAAAGGGTGCCTTGGTGAATACATCAAATTCCTCTTGCTCTAGTCCCACAGAAGACAGCTTGGTCCGTTGAGAGAAGTTCTTTTCATTCTCTCCTTGTTGGGGCTGTTGAGCACGCACTGCAAAGAAGGGGACAGCACCAAACACATCGAACTCCTGTGTAGGGGTCTCCACTCCAGCATCAGAGGGTGATCGGGTTGGGGTGAGGAGTGTTCTGTTAGGATCCTGGATTGGCCCACTGCCAGATCCGCCTCTGCAGACAGGGCTCCCGTCTCTGTACTTTCCTTTGGCCTGCTCATAATCAGAATCAGAGCTGTGTTTTTCTTCTTCTTCCTCATCTTCAGAATCCATGAGGAGAGGCCTGTGACCCAGATTTTCTGGTTCAGTATCATCATCATTAAAATCTCCTTGCTCTCCGTGAAGAACTTCTTCATCATCTTGCTCTTCCTCTTCACTGCTCTTAGGAGATGGGGGATCTGATTCAAAATCACTTTCAGATTCATCATTCCCCTTTTGCAATTGACCTTGTACTGATGAATTCTCTGAGGTTTTCTTTCCAGTCCGGTGGTCTTTAGATACTGGACTTGCTTTTCTATTCTTGATAGAGTTTGCAGTGGTATTTTCTTGATTCATGGATGAATGTTCAATTTTCTTTTCAGGAGAACCTGCATGTTCAAAGAAAAATTATTATAGCATGCCAATGCATTTCAAAATCCATTTGTACTAAATAACATGTACTAACACAAAGCATTACAAATCCCTCATGCCAGTTCCCTTAGAGAAAGAAGTAATGTCACTTCCCTGTCATTAGGTTTAGGAATGCCCTTGTCCTCAACTAGATGGTTAGGCCCTTCAGTGCAGACAGACTTGACTCTGTAGCCCTACACACTACTTACTCATTGTAAGTCCTCACCAACAGCCACGTTTCATGTATAGCACCCAGAAGAGGACTCTGAATATAGTACACAAGAAAATTTTCTTCTGCCACTCTCAAAATAATATTTGTGTGGCATAAAACTCCTGCTAAGATCCCGTATTTACCAAAAAACCTGCTTATATTTCAATTCTCTTATAAAGTTTCCCCACAGAGATCAACAAGTACGAAGAGCTTGTCTGCTTAGTTAATATGTTTCATGGTAATTTTGAACTGGCATTCTGGTGCATTCCCTAAGACTTAATCAAAGCTGAGGGCCAAGTACTAAACTGAGACTGTCCCAAGGACATCTGCTTTCTCTAGACAACAGTCTTCAACTATCATATCTGTACTACTAGACATTACATTAAAAGCATGCTACCTTTAAAAAATATCAATACATTCACTGTAGGTTAGGTAATAAAATTATATAAAATATAGTGCTTTAAAATTTCTCTATATGGCATATAATAAAAATAATATTTTTGTTTACATGAAAATATACTTTCCTCCCAATTCACTGGTGTCTTTAACTGATTTTCCGGAGGTGGGATTAATTTGAATTGACCCAACCACATATCTATCCATCCCTTCCCGTCCTTTGCAAAACAATTAACTAGGATTGGAAGTACAGTTTATAATCATGAAAACTAATTAACTTAATGGAAGGACAAATTGGACAAATTACTTTCCCATTATTAAAATAGTGGTCCCTATGGCATATGACATCTCTCAGTTCCTTCCTTCTCTTTCAAAGTCAGCACTATGGTCCTCCTACCTCTCTGACTATTCCTTCTTGGCCATATTCGTAGAGATTTCTTTCACTAACATCTCCTTAAACATTTATGTTCCCCAGGCTTCTATCCTTGGCTGTTTCTCCTTCTGCATGTCCTCCCCAGGTCTTAAGTACTTGTATGTTTAATCCCACATACACCATAACGACTGGATCTCTAATACTTAACCAAGAATACTTATCTCTTTTATTCCTCTAGTACTTATCATGACATGTATCCTACTATTACTTCAAACTCAGTAATTTCAAGAGAGATCACCTGTCTTCTTAAACTGTGCTCTCCAGCTCCCTCTAAATTAGTAAACAAAAATCTGGAAATCATCTTTCCTTTTCCCACCAAATAGTGTTTTTAAAATCTCTGGAATCTGTTTTCTCTTCTCCTTTCCTCTCTCTCATCTAAAAACCCTGTAGCTTCTGAAGTTATCTGCCTCCAGTCCCAAATCCTTCAAACTGCTCCACTAATCATGTGGCTATTGCTTAAAATCTATTAGTGGCTCTCTAGAGACCCAACACTTAGCCCAGCACCGGGGATCTCGATCTGGGTGCTGTCGTACACAACCTAATTTAGACTCAAGACGGTGCTGTCTTACTACAGCAACACCCGAACTCTCCCTACTCAAATTCAGGAACTGGATAGATTTGGATAAAGTATTTTATTTGAGCTATCTTGTTATCCAAGCCCTTCATGTTTTCAACTGGAAACTGAGGAACCTAATAGATTTAGGTTTCAAGGGTGCACTTAACTATTACAATCTCTCTACCGCTGGAACATCATACCTCTGTATATACCTCCCAGCACTCCCACTCCCACCCGACTGCCCAGTGTAACAGGCTGTACTTCAATGCCAGCCCATGCCACAGCCCTTCAGAGGCTCTCCTCAAAAAACACCCATAACTGGTGCTCCTGATGAACCTACTACAAGCCTTAATTAGAGCAGGTACTGTACTGTATTGTAATTATTATACTTGTTTATTTTCCCTACTTGATTATGAGCTCTTAGACACAGACCTATTTATCATTTACTTCATAGATCATTTTTACCGCAGCACTGTACTGAATCAGTTTTTGTTGAGTGACACAGTAAGTTACTACTCTGGGCTCACAGCTATGGACACACACATATTTGATATATTCAGAATACAGTAATGTTACATAGAAAAGGAAACCCTTTACATTTGGAGATGTTTTAGCTCAGAATTCAGTCACTCACATTTCTTATTTGATGGGGCACTTTAGTACATGTTACACACTGGTGAATAAAATAAACATGGTCTCTGCCTTCAGGAGATTACAATCAAGTGTGGGAGACAGAGAGTGTAAGTAAACATGAACAGTGAAGTAACAGATCAGTGGTGCAAGTTATGGGGCAGGAGGAGGACAGTCAGCAAAGGCCTCCCTGAGGAGGAGTCAGTTGTAACTGAAGAGTGAGAAGGAGTCTTCCATGCCAAGGACAAGCCAGAAGCTGCTGCACTTGAAGGCTCCGGCATGTGTAAAGGCCAACTCGGGAAAGAGGTTGGCGTGTTTGAGGGACTGCAGATAGGCCAGTGTGGCTGGAAAACAGTGAGCAAGGGGAATACTGTACAAGATGAGGCAGGAAAGACAGAGGAGAGGACCAGACTGTCAAGGTCCCAGTTGGGCCATGATACAGAGTTTGGATTTTGTTCTAAATTCGGTGTATAGTGGGAAGCCATCACAAGGCTTTATTTAAAATAGGTGCCATGATCAGATTTATATTTCAAAAAGATAGCTACTACTTGCAAAATAGACTGAAGAGAAGGGTGCAGAAGTGGGGAGATGAGTAATTCAAGTTAGAGATCCTGGTGGCCTGGACAACACTGGTGGCAGGGTAAATAGAAGTGGAAGAACTAGAGTGAAGAGAACTCTGGATGGATGGCAGTGCCATTAACACAGAAATGAGTGAGTAAATAATAAATTGGGAAGTAGAGATTGTCAGGAATTTGGACACATAGCTTGAGTTATCTGTGAGAAATTTAGGTGCAAGCTAATGTCTGTGGCTGGAGCACAATAGTTTTTAGCTGGAGGAAATACATTAGGGAGTGATCACCACGCAGAGGGTACACAGGGAGTCACAAGTCTGAAGGAAATCATCTAGGAAGAGAGTACAGAAGAGGAAAACGGGATCTAGCACTGAGCCCTCAGGGAGAAAACATTAGAGGTTGGCAGAGGAGCCTGCAAAGCAAACGGAAAAGCACCACAGCAGAGGTCCAAAACCAGGTGAGTGCATGTCCCAGGAGCCCAGAGAGCAGTGTTGCAGGGGAGGGAACAGACAACTGCAAAGCGGCCCAATGAACTGAGGGCAGAAAACGGCCTGCAGCTCCGTCACCTCCTGTGGATTGTTGGTAACTTTGAAGTAAAGAGTGAGGGGAAAGAAGACTGGAGAATTCCATCAGGTTTTACTTAAATACAATTATAATCTTTACCTATTATTCATCTACCAGTTCCTTGAAACCAGCCAAAAGCTTTATGCTTTCTTTATAAATTTATAATAGGCTTATCTTAAATCCTAACAGATTAAAACCAAATCAAATGCAGATTCTCAAGTTTGACTTATCCTCCATATAGCATTTTTCTGATATTAAAAAAAAGATTACCATTAAATTAGCTATAGAATTTATTTTCATGAATTTGTTTTCTAAGGCAAAGACTGCAGTTGTCTCTTGCTCTGGGACATTTCCTCTAAGATGGATTTTAACTTACTACTTTCCCAAGCTACTTACACACCCACAGAGAACTCTGCCTGCTCCTGGGCACCTCCAAGAACATTCCAGCATGTTCCCAAAGAGTATTCTGCAGAACACTATTCCCGCAACAAGAACCAAGCAGTTCTATGGTCTCGGGCAACTGAGTTAATGAACTGAGGTACCACAGGCTATGCCTCCACTCTACTCACCTGGAAAATGCTCGTCGTATTAAAAGTGCTGACAAGCCCTACACAAAACCTGTTTAATGAATTTATGAAACCAGGAGCTTCCAAATTTGCTTCACTATAAGCACTTGTATTTATATGTAACACCTATTAGTCTTTATAAACAATTTTGCAAAACACTGTAGGAAAATGCTGCTCTCCAATGTCTCTGAGAGAATTTCCATTTTTAGGATACAGTTTTATTCCAGGCCTTCTGGAATATTTAAAATAGGACAGAGTCCTTCAATTGACCTTCTTTTTGTTATTCTTATATTTTAATCCCAGTCTTCTAAATTAACTGTTTACTTTACCCAGTTCCTTAACATTGCTTTCCCAAACACTTCCATCACTTTCTGCTTTCAATCTGCCCACCCATTGTCAGCTTCTCAAAGTTGTATTAATAGGGATATATATGTCTTTATTGTAAAGTGCTAATCAGGTCTATTTTTTTCATTGTCAGTGTGAATATAAATTTGTGGGGTTTATTCACTTATTCTTCATATGTCTTTAGGTATCAAAATAGTCCATTATTCTGATAGAAAAATAATAAAAAACATATAATATGTTTGTTTACCTATAGAACCTCTAGGTTGTTTCTAGTTTTTCAGCATTTTAAGTAGAACCATGATCATGTACTTTTTCCTTGGTGGGGAAAATAGAATGAAAGCTCGGTCCTTTTTAAATATAAATTTCACTTTATCAATTTACTATTATTCCTTCCTTATGCATAATTAACATACAGCTAGTAAAGTTAACCCATTAACAATCTGACAAGATCATAGCTAAATACTGTACTCTGTTCCCCCATACATAACATGAGGGAATATGTTATTGTATTATGAGAAAATAATATCATAGTAGCAGGTTCTACTTCATAGGATGTCGTAAAGAAAAAATTTAAAACATTGCCTGACACTAATAAGCACTTGATAAAATTAACTGTAATCATCATCTACAGGGCAAGGCCAAACTCAATTATCTCATCCATCACACTCCAACCTTCTAGGAACTTTTCTGGATTCAATGTTTGAAGGTGAATCTAAATGAGAGGGAAGATTAGGGAAAAGGGGGAAAGAGGAGTGCAATTATATGGCTAATTCAAGAGTAGTTCAAGTCCACTTTAGAACTGACCAGAAGTTAGACAAAGAAGTGTATATTCACATACCACAAGGGTGCATGCTGGACCCTTGGAAACTATACCTCTGATTTTTAAATAGCTTTGGTTGAGGGCACAGTATAAAAAAACTGAAAAGGACTACTTTCAAAAAGAACAAGAAAAGAGACAATGATCTATGTTATCTTTGCAGTTTCACATTACATCCCTGAGATGAACAGAAGTCCTGTTAGTACAGATACACTGGTTTTATTTTTTATTGCCTCCCCTTCTTAAAACAAACAAGCAATCAAAAATATTTATCCAAATTCCTTCTTTCTCCCACATGCTCACAACCCACCCTGACATTGTTTATGTTTTAATTCTCTATCCTCCTACTCCTTCCTACACCCGTGTAGTCAAAATTAGCAGGGAGCCTCTCTGACAGCACACAAAGGGTAACTTAAATGGTTAAGCACAATGAGGTCATCACTCTCCAGCACCTCCTGCTGAGCAGAAGTTAAATTAGAGGCAATACATTATAGCAATCCTAGATAGGATTTCACTTCCTACAGTAACAGCGATTGACTTAATCATCCTGTCTATTGTGAAACTATAGAACCAAGAAAGAAATGGAAATAATACAAAAATAAAAATTACTAAGGCTTTTAGTTCTGTTTCACAGGCACAAAAGACTATCACAAGAAGTATTACAAGTTATAAAGTTGGTTACCTAACTATACAGTAGATAGTACTTTAAAATGTACTTTCATAGCAAAGAGTGCCATCAACTTTTAAAATCCATTTCTTTGCCTAAACATACTTCTGTAATTAAAAAATAAATTCATTTATTCTTACTGTTTGCTCCTAGCCAGATTTTGTCTTCCATGTTGTTAGAATATTAACATGTGATTTACTGTGGAATTTAAATCAAGATTATTTCACTGCCAAATGCAGCTTAACTAGTTTTGCCTTATAATTCAATATATTCTAAATCCTAATAAGCCCTGTATTTACTGAGATTTGTATTATTAAGATTTATTTAAATATGGCTGTTTTTCAAGTAAGTGGAAAGGGAGCTATAATGTTTAGAGTAAGCACTAGGAACATGTACGTAAAAAGCATAAACAGATGTCTAGAATGTACCAGATAACACCTTACTTACACCTTTTCTCAATTTTGGTAAAACACTGTAAAATTCCATATATTGCTAATTTTCATTTTTGGCTCTAAGGGCATTTTTCTTTAAACTAAATACAAAAGAGTGACATTTTGATGGCTTCTAGTCAGGATATTATTTATTTCTGCTTTGTGTCTTGCAACTACAAACTAAAAATTTCAGCTTTTTGAGTAATCCTCTTCTTTTGAGGTTGGGTTTGATTGCTGGAAACAGCCAAAATCTTATCAGAGCTAAATCCTGAGAATAAAGTGAGTGACTACAATAGACAATGAAGATTTGAGTAAATTATTAAGAACATCAATGATGGGTTACAAAGTCTTAAATTCTTAAACTGTCTCTCAGGGAAATTCCAAGTTAAGCATTGATAAAGAAAAAGGTAGAGCAATGGAAATAAATCACTAAAGTAAGTGCCAAGATAATTGGTACTTATTTACACACAAAAATGTTGAAGTTATCTCGCTACTT